CCCCTCGGCGCTAGGCGCCGCCCCTGGCCCGGCCGGGCCCGGAGCCATGAGCCCTGGGCTGCTACTGCTCGGCAGCGCCGTCCTGCTCGCCTTCGGCCTCTGCTGCACCTTCGTGCATCGCGCTCGCAGCCGCTATGAGCACATCCCCGGGCCGCCGCGGCCCAGGTGAGCGGGGGGAGGGGGCGGGGGCCTGGATGGGGCGCTCGATCCGGGGGCCTGGGGACCGCATCCAACCTTGTGTCCGGGCCGAGGGGTCCAGCCTCGCTTCTGCGTGCGCGCCCAGATCGGAGACGGAGGCCAGGAGAGGGGCGCTAACTATTCTTAGTAACAAATTACTCACAGCCGCCGCAGCTGCTGGGAGCCCACCGCGCTCCGCTGGGCCCCATAAATGTGATGGCAGTGACAGTCCTGCCAGGTAGGCGCTATTGTTACCCCATCGTTCAGACCGGGAGACTGAGGCGCGCAGAGGTGAAGTCACCTGCCCAAGGTCACACAGTTGGTAAGCTTAGATTTAAACCCAGGTCAGCCCTGCCTCCAGAGTAGAAGCTGTAAACTGGAACTTGGACAGGGGTCAACCGTCAAAGAACAGAGCAGTTCTTTGGCCAAGTTCCCTTGTGTCTGTGTTTCTGTCCTGGGATATCCCATTTGTGTTTTTGTTCCATTCTTGACCCCTCACCCAATTTACCACCCTCCCATCAAAAGCAAACCTTCCTGAAGCTTAGATTTGTTTTGTCCTGGTCCCAAGGGTTTCCCATCACAGAACTAAAAAAAGTTGAGGTCCATATGAAATATGCCGCATAGCCTGCAAGACCCCTGCTGGGTTCTCAGGCCCAACCACTGCCGGTCCCCTTCTTGACCCCTCTTGATTACCTCACAGATGCCCCCAGTTTGCCTGTTCTCTGCTTCTCTCTCTGGGGGGCCTGTACATGGGGTCCCACATCAAAAAGGCAGTCCCCAACCACTCTGTGCAAAGCTTGCCCAGCCTGGGTTCCTTACCCGGGGACATAACCTCTGAAGACATCTTTCCACCTGTTGACTGCCCCCTCATTGTGAGCCTGGGGAGGGCAGAGATGCACTGTTTGCCTGTGCATCCCCAGTGACTGGTGTGCTGCACTTGCTCAGTAAGTATTTGTTGAATGAATGAATGAATGAATGAATGAATAAAGGATGGTATTGGATACACTTTTTGAAACCTCAGGACATGAACATTCTGGAAGGTACTATCTCCAGCACAACAGCCTGAATTCCTGTTTGGGGGATTCAGGAATGACCTCTGTGACTGGTGATATAGAGAGGTAATTGTTGTCCCTCCCCCCTTGGCTCTCTGCCCTCTCTGTGATCGCTTTCCAACCTTGGGGTCTCCCTGGAACGCCTTTTCTCTTGCTTAGCAGCTCTGCCTTCTGCTGCAGCTAAATAGGCCTTCCCTTCTTGCTGGACCCCCTCAATATATTATATTCATTCCATAGACCCTTAAGTCACTGTTAAGTGTCTGTCTCCTCCATGGGTCTCTCTCTCTGTCTGTCTTGTTCACTGCAGTGGCCCCAGTGTCTCTCCCAGCAGCATCTGGTACATGCACAATGATTCCAGGTTGGTTGGTAGGATTTCCAGGCTCTGTTAGGCACACAACTCCTGTGTCCAAGTCAGCTATCCACAGCTTGGGAATGAATGACGAATGGCTTCTGTGCTTGTTTTAAGAGTTTCATTGTTATTCTCCTAAACCCAGGTCCTTCAGGCTTTGCAGATCTGCTGGGACCCGAATCTGGGGAAGGTAGAACTTGAACTCGAGTCCCTCTCCCTAAAAAAATTGAGATATAATGTGCATACCACAAAATCTACCCTTTGAAAAATTTTATCAAGCCACAGAGTTGTATAACCATCACTAGTAATTCCAGAACATTTCTGTCACTCCAAGAAGAGATCTTGTCTCCATTAGCCATCATTCCCTGGCCCCTACCCCAACATTCCTAGTACTGATCTGAGTTCTATCTCCATGGATTGCCTGTTCTAGACATTTCCTATAAATGAACTCATACAATCTATGGCCTTTTGTGTCTGCCTTCTTTCACTTAGTATGTTTTTAAGGGTCATGTATGTAGCAATATGTGTCTGTATTTCTCTTCTTTTCATGGTGGAGTTCTCCCCATCACTCACACCAGAGTCTACCTGTCATTTGTAGGTGTATGAAAGGAAGAATGCTGTGAGGAGGCTGACCGTAATCAGGCCAGGCTCTGTTCAACTAAGTGAACTGAGCAATACATATGTAAAAAAAATTTTGGATTAAAACTTGATTGGTGGTCAAATATAAAATCAAACAAAATGAAAGTTCCGGAACCTCTTCTAGCACAGATCAGATGTTCTGTCACTCGAAGCCTGGGCTTACAAACCATGATGGCGACCCTGTGGTTGACAGGAAATGAGACCAGTAGTGGCACTTGTCCCTTGGCATTTCAAGACTTTGCCAGCTTGTAAGCAAGGAACCCCTTTCCTTGAAAGAGGCAGCTGCTGTACCCTCCCAACCCCCCCCATCCTCTGTACTCTCCAGGAGGCCCTCTCTTCCAGGATACCCTCCCTGAGTGCACATGCTCTGTGCTTTAAGTACAGCATCCTACTATACTGATCTGCATAATACCTGGAAACTTACGCCACACAGTTCGATCCATCCCACTCACTCACTGCTTCTTTGCTTCTCTGGCCCCTACTCTCCTGGTACTGATGATGCAGTGGAGGTAACTTGACAATGAAAGGGCCTTCTCACCTAGTTTTTAATTAATTCTGGAATAGATGTCTTGACACTGACTCCTGGAAGTTGCTAGTTTTTTCCACCCAGAATGGCCAGACTCACAAGTTACCCAGAGTAGGGAGGTCTTCTACAAAGAGCAGATGGGGCTTAGCCATGGTACAGCCCCATGCCTGGTCCTCTTCTGTGGTGCATCCCACAGATTCTGGGTGCCCAGTAGGACATTCATCACCCCAACTCTCTGGCATGAATCACAAACATGGCCCTCACCTGCACACACTTCTGGTGGAGAGCCTGCCCCTCAATCATTGTGAGGACTCCCTTTATCCCTCTGGTAGCCGCACAGAGGGCTCTCCAGATGGCCCCTGCTCTAGTTACTGACCAAGTCCATAGGAACCTTGGATTCCCAACTGGCTAGTCACTGCTAAAGGGAAGAGAATGTGCTGGGAAGTACTGGGAGGGGGCTTCTGCTCTGCCTGCCCTCCATGGCCTACCCTGCCCTATGCAGTCTATCACCAGGACTTCTGACAAGTGAGCTTCTGTCTGAGGTCCCAGGGTTCCACCTCACAGCCTTACCTGCCTATTTCAAATCTTCTTCCCAGCGTCCCTTGGTGGAACCAGGAGGAGTGGACCTTAGGTCCTGACCTTCCCAGGTGGCTGACCCAAAAAGTTAGGGTTCAGTCTCTGGGGTCAGACGCGTCTGGGAGAGGAAAGAGGGCCCAGACTCACTGAAGTGAATGACTTAGAGCTGAGAACAACCCCTAGTATGTATAGTCTGGGGAGTGGCAAAAATGATTCTGGAAATATAGCCAATAGTATGTGATGGCAAGGTTCGCCTTTCTCCAAGTCCCCTCACCTGGAAGTGGCCTCAGCTGCCCTACACTTCCTGCCCCGGTACATTTGCCCACCCCCTCCCCAGGCAGCTTTCCTGCCTTCTCTCAGCCCCATCACCTCCCCCTTCATCTGCATGCTCAGCTGTTATTCTCGCCTCCTACTTCCCTGAACAAATAGAGCAACTGGGAAGAACTTCCTGCCAGGGTTCCGCTGCCATAGCTGCCCACCCCTGCCCCACAGCCCACAGGCACCTTACAGCCGCTCTTGCAAGTGCCTGCGGGTGCTTTAGCTGAGGCTAGCCGGTCCCCTTGGCTCAGTGGCCCTGTCCCAGCAGCACCCGCATCTTCCCACACCACTGGTTCTCCTCCACAGCATCTCTCCCATCTTTATATAACATGCTGTACCAATCTGCAGCTTGGAAAAGCCTATCTCTGCACTCTCCTGTTGCTCCCAGCTCTGCCCCCTGCAGCAAACCCATTGACAGACCCTTCCGATGGTCCTCCAGTCTTCCCTCTCACCCACTCTTGAACTCACTCCCATCCGGCTTTGGCCCCTGCCTTTCCACCCACCCCAGGGACCTCCATATTGCCGAAGCCAATGCCAGTCCTAGTCCCCATGTTCCCCCCCCCCCAGAAGCCTCCTCTTTGTGCTACTCCCACCTGTTAGCTTAGTTTCCTGGTTGTTGCTTTGCTTCATGAGCCCATCATGATGGCCCTTTCCTTGATATTCTCATTCTTTCTCTCTCTCTCTCTCTCTCTCTCTCTCTCCATGCATCTCCTACGGGCTCATCTGGGTACTGGCCTGAACATGGCTCCTTTCTCTGAGCCTTCAGTCTGACATTTACATGGAGCCTCTCTTGGATACCAGATGTCATCTCTGCTTCTAATCAGATAAGCCCTTCTTCCGGGCTGGCACAAACAAGTGGGTCCAAAGCCATGGTCCTGACTTCATCTACCTGCATTGAGTTGTCAGTCTTGAGACAGGAAAGGACATATGGGGACAGGTCATCCCAGGTTGACGGATGTGGAGAGAGAAAGAAGGTAGTATACAGAGTGAGCACTAGCTCTGAGCCCACAGGCTGCTCTCCAGCTTTGTCCTCTGAGTAACTGGTAGATCCCCCACTAGCCTAGCTGCCCTAGCCCAAGGTCCTATGTCCTGACACCTTTCACTGCCCCATACCTGTACCCTGTGTCTCTGTCTTCAAGGGCATCTACCATCTGGCTTCTCTCATCACCATCACTACCCCTCCCACCCCCCTACCCTAGTCTGTTGCTTCTCACCTCTCACAGCTCCCACTGGCTGCAGATGCCTCTGATTTTATTCTGGGCCCCATTCTGCCCATTACTCTCAGTGTGGCCACAAAAGGGATCCATCTAAGCCCAAGTTAGATCTTCTCTGAGTTCTGCTCAAAACCCACCAATGGCCCCCACCTCACTGAGGGCAAAGTCCGCAACTCCCCGCATCGTCTACCCTCCTACCTTGGCGATCCCATCTTGTGCTGCTTTCTCTTCAAGCATCCTTTTTAGCACATGGTCCTTTTGCTGTCCAAGTACGCTCACCTCAGGGTCCTTTGATCTGTTGTTCCCATTGTCTGGAATGTTCTTTTCCCAACAACCTGTGCGGATAAATCTCTCACAGGTTGTCTATCTCAGCTCACAGACTACCTTCTTATATGTGTGTGTGGTATGTGCATGTGTGTACATGTGTTCGTGTGGAGGCCAGAGGTCAATGTTGGAGGCCAGTCACTCTCCACTGTAGTAGTTGAGTGAACGGAGACTCCAAAGGACGGGAAGACACAGATGAAGCTTTAAGCGGAGCATCTGATACTCGTGGTCTGTAGATGCAAATCCTTCTCAGTCCTGATCTTTTATTTAGTACTAAAATAATGGATAAGTTGAGTTCATAGGAAATATTGTGCCAAGAACACATAAGACATAATAACAAGTTACATACAACAACAAGCCAAGGAATACAACATATAGATGTTATCAGACCGAGCAGCCTCTAACTAAACTTATGTGTCAGAAACGTCTGCTTTCTAGAATAGCTTCAACCCAATCAGAGTGTTTTCAGAATTTAAAAACACGTTTCGCCGCAGAGGTTTGCCTTTTGGGATCAGCGCTCACAGTGATCACGTAGTTCTTTTGTCCTTCATTGAACATTAATTCTGCAGGTATGGCATAAGACATCAAGTCACAGACACAGTAACTGTTCATGACATGGCTTGCTACACGCCACCTTAAAATTTTTTATTTATTATTTTTTATGTGTATGAGTGTATTGCCTATATATATGTAAGCGTACCCATGTCATGCAATGCATGAGGGGGTCAGAAAAGGGCATTGGATCCCCTCCCGGAACTGGGACCACGGAAGGCTATTAGCTACGATGTAAATTCTGGGATTCGAACCCAGGTATTCTGCAAGAGCACCCAGGGCTCCCAATTGCTGAGGTGTCTCTCCAGCTCCATCTACCTTATTTAATTTAACTTATTATTTTTATTTTATGTGTGTGAGTGCTATGCCTGAATTTATGTAAGTTCACTCATGTAATGCAATGTCTGCAGAGATCAGAGAGGGTGTCAGAACCCCTGGAACTGGAGTTATGGACAGTTGTTAGCTTCCATGTGGGTGCTAGGTTGAACTTGGGTCCTCTGCAAAAGCAGAGGGTCCTCTGCTGAACCATCAATCTTCAGTCCCATCCACCTTATTTTTTGAGACAAGATCTTTCTCTGAACTTGGAGCTCAACAATTTGGTTAGATTGGCTGGCCAGTAAGCACCAGGGAGTCACTTACTTCGCCTCTCCAGCACTAAGATTACAGACAGGGTCCCACTATATAGTACTAGGTGGCCTGGAACTGGCTATGTAGACCCTTAGACTCACAGAGAGCTGACTGCCTCTGGGATTAAAGGTATCTGCAGTTGACCTGAGCGTGCTGGCACATGCCTTTAATCCCAGCACTTGGAAGGCAGAGGCAGGCAGATCTCTGTGAGTTCAAGGCCAGTCTGGTCTACATAGTGAGTTCCAGGTTAGCTGGGACTGCAGAGAGACCTTGTCTCAAAAAGACCAAAGGTGTCCGCGACAAAGCCTGGCCTTTTTTCTTTTTTAATGTGGATGCTAGGGATCCAAATTCAGGTTCTTGTGCTTGTGTGGTAATTACTTTAACAACTGCACTATCTTCCCAGCCTACAAGGGCACCTTATAAAAAGATACTTCTGTTTGTATAAAATGGCCATCCCCACATGTATCCCTGCTGCCTTTCTCTCTCTCCCTCTCTGTCTGGCTTTCTGGCTCTCTCTTTCTCTGTCTCTCTAGCTCTGTCCCTCTCCCCAAGTCTCTAGCCCAGGCTAATCTTGAATTCTATGTAGTTGAGGATGGCCTTGAACTTCTGATCTTCCTGCCTCCATCAGAGTGGTGCGATTACAGGTATATACCACCATATCTACTTTATGTGATTCTTGGGATCAAACCCAGGGCATTGTGTGTGCTAGGCAAGCACTCTACCAGCTGAGCCACATCCCTAGATCAGTTATTTTTCTCTTGTACCGTTCTCTGGCCTCTTATTTGTTTTCTCTTAGTCTCCCTGGGAGAATCTTAGTTCCAGACCCAGTTTCAGTTCATTGAAACCCTTTCAGGAGTCTGTAGTGGGCAGAGTAAAGTTATACAGGAGGCAGGCCATCATGGGCACCTTGAAATGTGTGTCAAGGTGACACTGAGCAGGCTTGCTTATAATCTGGTGCTCACATGGCAGACCTACATAGACTGTCCCCTGAAGAGAAGGTGTTGTCCAGCCTGGTGCCAGCTGTGCAATGGTGGGCACGTGGCTTCACTTCTCTTGTCTCTGCCCCACCTAGAAATAATATGATAATAATGATTACTGTAGTGCTTGCCTTGGCAAGGAGATGCTGGAGGACCATGAATGAGGCTTAGTGTGGGGTGTGGCACACTGGTAAGTGTCAGAGGTGACCGACTGAGCCCTTCTCCTGTGCCAGCCCTGGACCTCTGACCAGGGGAACAGAAATAAAACTGCTCTCTAAGGAGGCCTTTGTCACCTGTTGGACCAGGTATTGTCCCGTCTGCACCTCTGCCTGGTGTTTCAAAGCCAGTGCCATGCCTCCTCAGTTCCCAAACACCTCCTCTCCTGGTCCTGAGGGGGAGGGCAGGCATCCTTCGGTGGTGGCCACTACTGAGCCTAATGCTTCTCTTTCTTCTAGTTTCCTTCTAGGACATCTCCCCTACTTCTGGAAAAAGGACGAGGCTTGTGGCCGTGTGCTCCAAGATCTGTTTTTGGATTGGTGGGTTCCAGTTTGTCACTTATTGTCCTTACTCCAGGTCCCTCAAAGGAAACCCTACTTCATCTAACCCAGCACACAAACTACTAGTCCGTCTACCCTGTCCCAAGAGTCACTCCTAACCCCCATCCCCAGGTCATCCCCAGCACCCCCAGGTCACTCTTAGACCCCCTCCCCAAA